CAGAAGGAACACGAGTGACATAAACACACACTTTCGAGTGTTCGCTTGGTTTTTTTGGAGTCGGCGCTGACCCTCCGCCGCAAGGCGGGCTTCTGGCGCACATCCAATGCTGTCCGCGCGGGCCTTCGGCAGTCTGTGATGCTTGTGCTGTGCCTTCTGCCTCGGCTGCAGTTGCCCATAGTCTGTTTCTCTGGAGGCATTCAGGGGAGGAGGGACTGGGATCCCATGCTGCCTGACGCTGGGACACGGGCGGCGTCCAACCCTTGAAAGCCCGTGGCGGGGCCGCCCCCTCGCCGACACGGCGGGCACCTGCCGCATCTGAGCAGACGTGAACACGACCCGGGACCAGGCGCCCGGCGGGCGCAGGCCCGCCAAAGCCGCGGCCGCGACGCCCTCTCGAGAATCGAGGAAGGGCAGCTCGCTGACGTGGCCCTCCCTGCGGGGGTGGGCAGACACGAGGAGGCAAACGAGCCTGCCTCGCCCTTGCCCACCCTCGCTTCCAGGAGATACCCAACGGCGCCACGCTGCGGCCCGCACCTGCCAGGCCGCCTGACGAGGAGGCGCGTGGTACGACTTGGCTTTGCCTGCACGCGCACGCGGGGTAAGCAATTCACGCTCGGAGAGACCTCTCTTCAGCACCGGGGCCAGACCCAGCGGGCACGAGCCTGCGGCCGCCACATCCTCCCGAGAACCGTCAAAGGGCAATTCGCCAATCGACCTGGCAGTGTTGGGGTCTCTATCCACCTCCCAGACCCCCCCAAATGCCCGAACCCCTGACGCACTGAAAATCTACAGGCGGAGGTTTTTCGTAGTTTTCGGCCTCTGGGGGCTATGGCAAGGCCCAAGGACTGTCAAAAACGACTCGGGATGAAAAGCCGGCTCTAGGAAAAGGGTGGAGACATCAGAAGACCTCGTATTGAACAAAACAAGGCACCGGCTCTCTGGGCATCCGACGTCGTGTATTTCCACGACTTGGCGCTGCATATATCCCAGAGATCTGGACCCTTTCCCCAGGCCTGGCTTTTTACCCCGAGTTGTTTTTTTGACAGCCCCAGGGTCGGTTATCGGGGCCACTGGATGCCGAAGCTTGCAACAACCTCCCGTCGTCTTTTTTGCATCCGCTGTCACAGCGGGAGGATGTCAAGGCCCGTCCTCAAGGGGAGCCTTGAGATACGACGTTGCAAACAAAATTGTAAGTTACAATTTTGTTTGCACCACGAACATCACGCAAAGAACCTGCGCGACGGAATGCGCTCGACCATTCGTCCCTGGAGCCCGCGCGGGAGAACAGGAAAACTTGAAAATCTGGAAAACTATCAATATCAATACTCCATGCTCCTCTGAGTAACATCGCAAGAAATCGCGTCCAGTGTCCGAGACCCCATCTTCCGGCAACATTTTCCGAGCCGGATGGATCTGTGGTAGCCCTGGGGCCCGCGACCTGGCGACTCCTGGGCAGCGCTTCCCAGGCTCGTGGGCAGCGCCAAAGGGCAGCTCCCGGGCAACGCTTCCTGGGCCCACGCACGGCGCACGGGCAGCAAGCAGGCAGTCCTTCCTGGCAGGTGAGGGGCAACGATAGGGGGTAGATGAGGCATAGGGGGGGGAAGCATCGACCTGGAAGCGGCGATACATCGCCGATGGATCGGCGATAGGCCCCCGATGGTGAATCCGCACTTTCTGGGGCAGGTTGGGGATATCGGGCCTCTATCGGCGATCAGTGGGCGATTGGGGGTCGATGCGTCCCCCCCTTTGCCTATCCCCCTCCTATCGTCGTCCCTGAGTGGAGCTCGGCGGAAGACCCGACCTACGAGGAACTCGGGCGCAGGGCATCGCCCACTGTTCACAAACAAACGCGACGCCCGGCTTTTCGGGAGGCCCCCTGTGGGCTTACAACCATACGATGCTGAGGAGGAGGAGGAGGAGGAGGAGGAGGAGGAGGAGGAGGGGACTCCTGGAGTTTTTGGGAGGCGTCCTGGAGGTTTTTGGGAACCGTTTTCTGGAGTCGGGAGTCCCTGGGTTTCCCCGGGGGCTCCTGGAAGTTCCTTAGGTGGGATCGCAGAGTTCTGGTGGAGGAAGAGGAGGAAGAGAGGGGGGGGAGAAACAACTTTTCAAAGGCCGCAGGCCCAAGCGGGCCGAAGCCGGTGCAGGCGTCGGTCGGGCTACGGGCGGGACGCGCCGGGAGCGTACAGGGGCACAGAAAGTGGAGAAGTTGAGGAGGAGCAAGACGATTTTTTCGTTTCGGGGAGAAGGAGGGAGCGCGACCACACAACTCCACCTCATTTGGCCTCAATCGCTGAGCGAATCAGGCAAACTGGGAACACCACATGAGCCGACCTGCGATAGGCAAACCCATGCAGCGAATCGTGGCGTGAAAGAAAAAATGGTCGCGCGCCGTATTCGAATAGCCACTGAGGCCCAAACGGCCGAAGACATTAGAGGATGAGGAGGAACAGGAGGAGGACAACACTTGCAACGCCTGGATCTCCCAGAGGGAGACTCCTATGCCTATCCCCCCCTAGCGTTGTTCCTTGGCTTTCGGGTCCTAACTCGGGTCCCTGGCGGCCGTTTGGGACGATCCCGGCAACCTTGGAACTCTCTCGGCGAGGCGCAGCTGCTGGAGAGCACCCCGAGGCTGGAAAGCCGCTGAGAACCTGCGAAAATGCCCAGACACCTCGCAACTCGAACCTCCAAACTCGAAACTTCGCATCCCCTGAAGGACAATGATAGGCATAGGGGGGGACATCGACCTGAAATCGGCGATACATCGCCGATAGATCGGCGATCGCCCCGCGATAGCGAATGCGCACGTTCCTGGGCGGGGTGGGGCTATTGGCCCCCTTATCGGCGATCAGTGGGCGATTGGGGATCGATACATCCCCCGGGCGGAGAGAGAGGATAATGGAGAAAGAACAGGAACAACAGGAGGACGGGGAGGAGGACGAGAAGGAGGAGGAGGGAGGAGGAGGAGGAGGGGGGAGGAGCAGGAGGAGGACGAGGAGGAGGAGGAGCACGCGTCACCTTGGGGGGCGTAATCCGTTACATATGGAGGGCAGCACGCGCGGCGCTGCGGGCCTGGTACAGCTGGGAATCGGTAGCGACAACCGCTGGGCCCGGGCGATGCCGAAGCTTGTGGTAAATGTGAAAGTCCAAACTAAGGCCCGATGGGCCCGCTGCCATCCGACCTCCCCGTCCGCGAAATCCCGAGGACACCCCAACCCCAAACGCATCAGAGGCTCAGCAGGAGGATGGGGGTCCGAGGAGGTCGGTGGCGGCCCAGAGCCTCGGGCGCAAGAGGTAGTGCGGAAAGGCGTCAGGGCGATCGACGTATCCGAACTTGCACGCGCTCTGGGGGAGGATCTTAACTCTCCCGCTGGTGACCCACGCGCCAGCCGACGATTTGATGTGAGGCCAGGCGTGAGACGGCGGAACTCTGCTGAGATGGGCCTAGAGACGCTCTCATCGGTGACAAAGGATGGGGGCAGGAGGGCAGGGACTCTCAGGAAAGTAGGAGCGGAATCGTTGACCGATGAGCGCAGGCATGCTATCAGGTAGCATCTGGGAGCGAAGAGAAGCAGAGAAGAACGCTTGCCACGCAACCGGCTTGCGACGACGTCTCCTCTCCTGCCCACGAGCCAGCGTGAACGCATGAGCTTGCCTGATGACCGAGAAAGCGAAAAAGAACGGGGGATACGATCGGAAAGGAGGAGCGACAACTTCAGCCGAGAGGGGGCGACCAAAGATGGAGGCATCAGGGGTGGGGTCAAAGAGCGAAGCGCATCGCTGTGCAATGCTGAACCGTGCGCGCCAACGCGGAGCGCGCCAGCGGCCTCGGAGCGCCTGAACTGCGGGCGCCTCCGCAAAGGCTCTAGCACGAAGCTTCGACCAACAATCCCCCCACCCACTGAACGTCCGACCCGCCGCCCTCCGAATCACAGCGATATTCGTGACTCGCAGCGGCTCGGGCACTTGAAGCCACTGGAGAGACACCAGCTCCGCGAGCGAGAAACTAGATGGTGGCAGACGTGAGAGTTTGCGCAGCGCGAGCAGCCCTTTCTGGAGAAGGGTCAAAGGTGGAAAAGAAGAGCTGGCAGAGGGAGGAGAGACAGGGGGGATGAGGCTGCTATAGAACCACAGGCACGCCTCCGCGGGCGCGCGGGTCGCCGCCACCGCGCGGCCGCGTGGCCACCATTTCTGGCCACTCGCAAGGAATTGAATTCCTCCGTGGCGCCTGGGCCGAGCATGAAGCCAAGATGTCGACGAGAGCTGCAGATAATGAGCTCCGCTCTGGGGCCATCACCTCCGAGGCAGCCTCGCGCGATTGCGCTGGGTGGCGGGCCAGCGGGTCCATTCCCAAAGCCCACGAAGTGCCAGGCAGAGGGCATCCCTGTGGGGCACCACGGGAAATCTCAAAAAGACGGACCCGCTGTGAACCCACGCTCAAATGCCCGGCCGATCCCTCGGACAGAGCTTCCAGCCCATTGAGGTAGCCTTCGCGGAGTCCGGACCTACGAAGCACCGCGCGGAACCATTGTTGAGTCATGCTCGGGAAAGCAGCTCGGACATCAAAGGAAACGAAACACGGCCGCCGTTCATTGGCATCGTAGCCCAAACGGGCCAGCCTAGTTTCAGCGTCGAGATTTATAATGTGATTCCCCAAATTCCTTGCTGGGCCCTATGGACACGCTATTTGGCGACTGTACTCAGGTTATGTTGATGGTTTGGGCGAAAGCTTTACTCTCGGTATTCTTTGAAGTTAACGGCCTGAGCGAGGCCGCATCACGGATGCAGTCGGTGAGATCTCGTAATAAACGCAACAACGCATCGTAGAGGATCTCAGCTGCTACTGGCACGGCTTTCCACGCGGCGTACGGCAAACGATCGGGGCCAGGGGAGGGGGCCCGTCCTCGGCGCAAAGCTCTGGTAAGGTCCTCTGGGGTAGGGAGAGGAAGGTCAAGCTGTGAAAAGGAGGGGAGGTGCTGGACCAGATATTCAGAAATGGCCTGGTCGCTGCCAGAGGCAGCTGCGAAGACGGGCTCCCAGTGCTCGCGGATCGCATTGGCCATGTCGGTTGGGCTCCTGATGATCGTGCCGTCTGCCGGCTGATCGTGCTTGAGGCCATTCAAGACGAGCCGACGCTGCGTCGGGTTCCAAGCCAGCGATTGCGGCATACATGTGACCTGTGCCTTGACCACCTCAGGAACGCCAGCGGTAGAGTCATCTCCTTGTGGTTGCTGTCGGCGACGGCGTCCAGCGCGAGCTGCGCGCTGTCCGATCGCGTCGAGGCGGCGCTGGTTGCAGTCCATCGCACGGTTCCTGAAGGCCCCCCCCCAGCAATAATGTAGACGATGCCGCTGTCCTTGAAGGCCGAGGAGCGACGAGCGAGAGCAGAGGTGCCATGAAGACGATGGGCAAGTCATGCGTCTTGGCGCCAGACAGCTCGAGCCGCCATGCGAGGCACCGAGCGCTCCGTCTCGAGCTGGTCCACATCGGTCTGGGCAAGAGAAAGGGAACATCTGGATTTGGGAAATGCGTCTCACGTCCCCTTCCGCGTGCGCAACGAGCAGGTTGGGCGCCGTCAGGTGGGGTGGGGCCGCTGCAGCTGATCTCTGGTGAGACCAGCCGCCAGGTGCATCAGGGCCTCGATCTTCTGCCACCGCTGCTGCATATCAAGGTTAACCAGGCCTGCGCAGCCAATGCGCGTCTGAAGAATCTCCTTGAACCTCGCGCTGCGAAAGAAATAGGCTGGGAAGCTCTGAAGCTCAGCAGGTGGGGGGCGCCGAGGCTGAAGGTGCAGAGCGACGATGGCGTGGTCCGAAAGCGCGAAGTCACTCAACTTGTCGGCCTCCTGCAGGATGTTGATCGAGATGTCGCAATCCGTCGCGTAGTGCGTGCTCGGCGAGCTGAAGAAGCGAGCGATGGTGTTAAGCGCGTGCGGGGATCTGTCGAAGTGGGTCGGCAGGGGGCTCTCGATCTCCAGCGTGCCACCATCGAAGAGAGATCTCCAGAACGGCTCTGACTGAGTGGCCCTGCCATCTCGCGAACGCCGCGCTTGCCGTTGACGAGGGGAAAGGAGCGATTGATTCGTGTAGTTGCTCAGGTTGAAACCGCCAGCATGGATCGCCAGCCTGGCCAGCTCGTTCCGTCGTGCCCAATCGTGATTCCGCTTCCAAGCCTGACGGATCACCGCCCGAGCAATCAAGTCGATGCCGTAGTTGCGGTGGTTGATGACCCTGATCGCGTGGCCGTCGCTGTTGGTGATCTCGAGCATGTGCATCCGTCCAGGGGCGAGAACAGTGTGCGAGAAGTGTGGCAGAAGGTGAGCAGGGAGCTGTCGTGCATGAGAAGGGGCATGCCACGGCGCGATGATAGCAGCTCCACCAGTGCGGTGATCAACTTCATCCGGGGCAGGCTCGCAGTCAGCCAGCGCAGGAGCAGCGGGGTCCTGCGGGCGTGGTGCAGCATGCTCGGTGGGGAAGCCGCTGTAGAAGACACGGTAGTGCACGGGCAGCTGGTCCAGTACCGTGGTGAGCGTCATCTCGTTGCCATGTACTTCTTGAACCAAAATCAGGTGTCGCTGTTGGAGGAGGTGCTTGATCTTGTTGAGCTTCTGACGTCGCAGCTTGTGGTTCCAGCAGCAGGGTCCGCGAGCGTTCCACGAGGCAGCCGTAGACCACGCCGGTCTCCACCGTTGATCTCACAGGGCTGGAACCGTTTGCTAGGATAAAGTCCATGCTGAAGTGTGACCGCTCTGGGACTGTTGCTTGAGCTGCGTGCTGACGCCCTGTAAGTCAATGTAGTGCTCTGCCGCCACCTGCGGAGACCATGCCAATCGAGTCGGCTCGTCCACTCCCTGAGGCGAGATCTCCACGATGGGCGTCGCGTTGATGCTGATGATGCCCCTGGAAGCTCCAGTTCTTGTCCTGGTAGGTGCGCTGCAAGATGCCGAGAGGACGTTTCCCATGAACTTCGCGCCGCACCTGCTTCGGGCTCTTGTCAGGGTTGACGTACAAGGCCTCCCGTGCTCCCGTGACGCTCTTGGCAGTAAAGCGTCGCCAGCTGCCACCTGGAAGTTGAAGGTGTTGCGCGAGGCGAGCGGCTCGGGAGACGCCAGCAGGGCCACCTGGGAGATGAAGATGAAAGGGCTTGCCAGGAGAGTCACCAGCAAGAGCGCACTGACTGGACTCCAGTCCCGCGTCCTTGACCCAATCGGCGATGGCCACCTCGATCTCGCTGAAGGCGGTGGGCCGAGAGCAGCCGATGCGGAAGACGCTCGGGTCGGCGGGGCGGTCATAGGTAGCGAGCCTGGCCAGGTCGATGGCCGTGTCTTGAGCAGTTTTGGCCTGGGCAAGGCTCCGCTGCACGGCGTCCAGGTCGTCGCGGAGCACCTTCTGGTCCTGGGCCATGGTGTCGGACTTGTCCTGGAGCCGTCTGATGTCGTGGTCATGACCGTCCAACCGAACCGCCTGGGGGCGCATGAGCTCCAGCACCGTGTCCCGCATGTTGGAGTGCGCCGTGCCCATGATAGTGTTGACCTCAGTGCGCATCCCCCCGAGCTGCTGCTGAAGGCCGCCGTGACCGCGGCCTCGATGCTCTCGACCGTGGTGAGTGGAGCCGGCTGAGGACGCTGCTGACGCCAAGGATCACCATCACCTTGAAGAGGATCGGGGCGGCTGTGTGTGGCCTCAGCTCGTGGTGGGGGTCGTTCATGGTCAGGGAAAGTCGGTGCGAGATCAGCGGCTGCAGCGAGTCGTGCCCGTTCGTCATGGGGAATGCCAGCCAGTGGATGAGCAGCGCCAGGGCCACAGTGGTCACCAGTAGAGCCAGCAGCGCCTTGATGGTGGTGGCGTGGAGGTGGGGCAGAAGCATCCTTCGGCGAGCTCCCACTAAAACGCGAAGACGAGCGATCCCGTCGTCGACCACGGCGGCGTTCATCCCGTCGGTCGTGTCGGCGTCGGCGATGGTGCTGCGACCCTCCACGTTCGCTGCGAGAGGCGGAGGTCCCATCGCTTGGCATGAGCAGATGCTAGACGAATATATGAAGGAGAAGTACTGCGGAAGAAGTGCGTGGAAACGTGAAGGGCCCAGGGGGCCAGGTGGTGAGCCACGAAGCACGGGCACTGAAGCTCCTGTGCCGCGAGGCCTGTCCTCGCAAGACGGGCGCTCTTGAGCCAAAATGGCTTGAGACAACATGGCTACGGAGGAGGAGGAGGAGGGGGAGGAGGAGGAGTAGACCGTTCGTATATCGTTGCACTTTGGCTCCCTTGGCCTGCTTTAGTACCCTGGGAGTCCCACATCAAGCCCCTGTGCCTATCCCCCCCCTGTCGTTGCCCCTGACTGCACCTCCCAAGGATTAGATCAGGCATGTCCCCCTACAGGCTAATTTTAAACGGTAGGCTTTAAACACCCCCAAAATATTCAAAAATGATAACACCAATACTGGAGAAATTGCCCCCGCATTATTTTTGGACTACTTTTGACTACTCCTCCTGTAGAGGGACAGGCCTGACTTATCGGCGGTGGACAAACCTCCCTTTAGTAAACCTTCCCTTAGTGAAAACGGCCTGGGACCGAAACCGACGGACCTGGACCCGCAAAAATGAAAGCCGCGACGCCCTCTCGCGAACCGACAACGGCCAATCCCTTCATCGACGTGTCAGGGCAGGAGGTCTGCCCACCCCCGAACTTCCCCCCAAGGAGGGAGACCCCCCGCCGCCTCGGGCCCGCCGCCGCCCGCGGCCGCGCGCGCCGCCGCGCCACCCCGCCGGCGCCGCCGCCGGCGCGCCGGCGCACCGCCGGCCGCTGCGCCCTGTGTGCCCCGCCCTCTCCGTGCGGCGCGGGCCGGCGCCCTCTTCCCCGTCCTCGTTGTCCTCTTCCTCGTCCTCGTCCTCGTTGTCCTCGTCCTCGTCCTCGTCCTCGTCCTCATCCTCGTGCTCGTCCTCTTCCCCGTCCTCGGCCTCGTCCTCGTCCCGCCCTCTTCCTCGTCCTCGTTGCCCTCCCTCGGCTGCGCGCAGGAGTGCTATCCTTGAGACGAAGCCAAAGCGAGGATAGAATCGGGTGAGGATGCACGGGGGATCTCTGAGATCCGGCGGCTGTGGAGGACGTCTCGGGCGCCGCGGCCGTCTCAGAGCGTTCTGGAGCGCTCTGAGAGCGTTCCGGAAAGCTCTGGAACGTGTCTCTCCTCGTCCTAGCCCCGTCTGGTGATCCTGGGCAAGATTGACCTTTGGTGCGCGGCGTAACAGGGGACGCGGGGTGGCCAAGCCCATGAGCGCAAGCCGCTGCTACTGCTTCGCGTTCCGCGATCGGGGGGCCCCAATGGGCCCGCACCAAAGGTCACCCTGGCGAAAAATCGCTCTTTCATCTAGTCGACTCCTGCTTGTCCTCCCCCCCAGATCCGGGCGTTGCAACTTTCAGCGCGCCCGGCGTTTTGGCCGAGTTTCGGGCCCAGGGACCCTCATGGATCGATGCGGCTCGAAAAATGCAGCAGAAAGATGGGGTCTAGGGCTCTGGTCGTGATTTCTTGCGGTGCTGCATGTTTCTTGCCACGTCGGATCTTAGAGTCAGCCTTCCTCCCCTCTCCCCTCCCCGACGCGGGCGGGAAGAGGATGAGGATGAAGAGGGGCAGAACCAGGGAGGGGAGGAGCATGACGAGGGGGAGGAAAACAGCGAGAAGGGGTGGGATGATGAGGGGAAGGTGGATGAGGGAAGGCACGAGGAGGAGGAGGAGGAGGAGGAGGAGGAAGATGGATGATGATGACGATGATGATGATGATGATGATGATGATGATGATGATGATGATGATGAGGAGGAGGAGGAGGAGGAGGAGGAGGAGGAGGAGGAGGAGGAGGAGGAGGAGGAGGAGGAGGAGGAGGATGGAAGAGGAGGAGGATGGAAGAGGAGGATGAGGAGGAGGAGGAGGATGAAGGAGGAGGAGGAGGAGGAGGAGGAGGAGGAGGAGGAGGAGGCACGAGAAGGGGCAGACGGTGGTTGACGGGAATAAGGCGTGGGAGGAGGGGGTGGATGACGAACCCCTTTTTCTCCTTCGGCCTATTCTTATGGGTCCTCCATTTTATGGAGAAAGAGAATGAACATATAATCCCACCCTTGCCTCGAAATGTCAAGCGTTCTCACAAATCACCTCCAGGTTCGTTTGAGTTCCTGTGGAGTTAGCAGGAACCTGCGTCCGTCCAGGGCAGAAGGAAGGAGGAGGAGAAGGAGGAGGAGGAAGAGGAGGAGGAGGAGGAGGAAGAGGAGGAGCAGGGATACGGAATATCGGAGGAATACTACTCCAACTCGTTAGACTATTGGGGAGAAGGCCGGAAGCCTCTCGAACCCCTTCCCAGCGCATTCGCGCAGAACCTAGATCGGGGGCGCGCCGCAAACATGGATTAGCGATCCATGGATTAGGTGCGCGGTCGCCAAATCCATGGATCGGGGCAGGTGCCCTCCGCAGAGTGCGGCCCGTGCCGCCTCGCTCGGCGGCGGGAATCCGCGATTTGCCATGGAAACGGGACCCGTCGCCAATCCACGCCCCCGTCGATCCATGCTTGCGGTCGCCCGACCAGCCAGGTCGCCTGACTTGGTGCCTCGCGCCCCGTGATGCGCGGCGCGCGGGTATCTTCGCGCCCTCGCGCCGCCGCGCTGGGGAAGGACGACTCTCCAACCCCGGCCGCTGTGCGCGAAGCGCGGCGGCGCACTGGTCGGAAGAGGTAGGCAGAAATATGAAGGAGGGCGGGAGAAGCAGATTGGGCTCGCGGCCGCCCAACAGAAAACAAAAACACACACCCGCGACAGTCACAAGAAGGCAGCTCACGATCTCTTTCCCCAAGCAGTGCTTGCACTGAAGGGGTCCTAGCGGATGTCAGAAAATTTGGCGAAAGTGCCCAGCCGATTTCGGTAGGCGGCCGGGTTCCCGGGTTCCCGGTGCCGGGTTCCCAAATTCCCGGCTGCTGATTCCGGGCCGATTTCGGTGAGCAGCGGGGTTCCTGGGTTTCCGGGTTCGCGGATTCCTGGTCGATCTCATTATCGATCGGTCTCACCATCGATCTCATTACTCACTTCTCTATCGATTTCACTATCGATCTCACAATCGACCTCATTATGGCTATCATAACTGATCTCACCACAGGCCGCAAGAACGATCTCACGGTCGATCTCATTGAATCGACTTAACTATCGGTCTCACGACGGACTTTACTATCGTCCTCACTATCGATCCCAGTATCGATCTCGCCATCGATCTCAATTTCCATACCACAAATTTTCAAACCATCAACTATTGGGTTTCCTTATTAACCTCCTTTACCCTCCTCCTCCTCCTCCTCCTCCTCCTCCTCCTCCCTCCTCCCTTCTCCCTTCTCCCTCCTCCTCTTCCTCCCTCCTCCCTCCTCCCTCCTCCCTCCTCCTTCCTCCTCCTCCTCCTCCTCCTCCTTTTTTTTGTTCCTCCTCCTCCTGCGGCGGACGAGGCAGAGGAGGCTTGATCTGGATAAAGAAAAACAATGCTCTGACTGCGCTGCATCCTCCTTCTCCTCCTTCTTCCCCTCCGTCTTCCCTCCTCTTGCATCCCCAACTCCTCCTCGCACGTGGATGTTTTTTTTTCATCCCCAACCCCTCCTCCTCCTCTTTCCTCCACCTCCTCCCCCTCCTCCCCTTCCTCCTCCTCTTGCTCCTCCTCCCCTTCCTCCTCCTCCTCCTCCTCCTCCTTCTCCTCCTCCTCCTCCTCCTCCTTGTGATCCTCCTCCGAGCAAGGCCTGCGCGTGCTAAACTTGACTGCCCGCGGGAGAGGACCCGCTAGCGACATCCGACATGGCCGGGATCCCGTCAAGCGAAGCGGGGCGTTCCAGGCGACGTCACACTGGACGTCCTTCGCCCCGACATCTTTAGACGGGAGACTTGCTATCGCTCTGACGTCCATTCCCCGTGCATGTTTCGGCCTCGCGCGCTTAGGTTTCGCAAGCTGATCCAAAAGGCTCCTCGATGCTCCTCGCCGAGAAAAAATGCGCACGTCCAAGCGATGCCGAGGAGAAGGACGAGTGGTGTGGGAGGGGGGGTCGGGATCTAGCGCATGTGTGAAAATGCCCCCCCCCCCCCCCCCCCCCCAAAGCACAATCCAGCTCACCACGCAGCATCCCGCTCTCTACTGCGAAAGCCCATTCCCACGAGCTGATTGGCAGGAACGCGAACTCCATTGGCAACCCCATCCCCGAACGGCAGGTCCGTGCCTCGACGACCCTGGCGCTGGTTTTGCGCACCGCGCGGATTGCTCCACCCTGAACGATCGGCGGCTTTCAATCGCCAGATCGTTCCATTTGGGCCGATTTGAAGGGGCCCTGGGCACACAAATAAATACACACAAATAACCAGATTCCCCATATTTTCCCATATTTTCTGGGTTTTTATCTTCCCCCCCACTTCCCATATTTTCGCATATTTTCTGGGGAATCGACGATTAATTGTGTCTGTGTGTTTCTTTCCCTCGTGACGATTCTGGGTCGCCGGCGGCGTCCAGCGTGGAGTGCCCGCAGCGGGGCCGCCACCGCGCCGACACGGCGCGAGCCTGCCGCGTCTGAGCAGACGTGGTCCTCGGCCTCTCCCACAGACCCATCGCGGGGGCGGACAGACATCCCCGTGTCGGGGGCGGCCAATATCGGGTCGGGCGAAAGGGGGGGATAGCAAAGGGGGGGTTTGAGAATCAGCTCACGTAGCCGATTTTCCCCGCGCCTCCCGGCGCCGGAGGCGACTATGTATCGAAGAATAGGCCCCTCGGTGGGGCCGAAACCAGCTGCATGCAGCAAATTCTGGAGGGAGGAGGAGGGAGGGAGGAGGGAGGAGAGGAGGGAGGAGGGAGGAGGAGGGGGAGGAGGGAAGGAGGGAGGAGGAGGAGGAGGAGGAGGAGGAGGAGGAGGAGGAGGAGGAGGAGGAGGAGGAGGAGGAGGCGGAGGAGGAGGAGGAGGACGACGACGAGGAGGAGGCCCCCCCTTTCCCAATCCCCCCCTTTCGTCCGGCC